CTTTATACCGGCTGATCTTTAATGTAATAATTCTACTCTCATCTGTCGAAAATCATTTGACTAAGAAACACACAACTTCAATAAAATTTTTTATATATTCATAAATATACCAAATAATAATTGAAAACCATATTTAGGGTTGATACAGTATGAAAAAAATCGTATACAGTCAAGAAACTTAGACACTTCTCAAAAGCCAAGACCTCTTGTATGTGAAGACACATTTACGACCTTTCGTTAGCGGAGGTGAATACCAAAACAACATTCACAAACAACATTATAAACTGTTGTAAGCGGTTGAATTAGTAATTATCCCGACAAATTGACATATTACGGTATATAAATAGATGTTGTTTTGTAATGCATGTAAATTCTTTCGTCTCTTCATTTTTCTTCCTGAACCACTATAGTTTCTTCTCCAGATTTTGCGCATTTATGTTCCTCAAAGAAAATTTTTTCATGTCATGTGAACTTTAAGCATTGTGTCTGTACAATGACAATATACATGATGAATTTGTTATATGATAACGTCTATGGACTCAAACGTTTCACTATACAGATGTTGGACTTTTAGTCGTTATCAAGCATATAATCATATTTCAAAACATTGTAAAACAGTCATATTTAAAAATTTTTATAATTATGCAAAAATTAACAAACATCTCATAAGCGGACACCTCCGACAAAAGAACACCAAGTCTTGGTCTTAAGGGTGTCCTTTTACGGTAAGTTCGATTGCATTCATTAAATATAAAAATGCTTTAAAACGTCTATGCCTATATAGAGTAAAGAATGTTCTGAATTTTCTTCCTTGATGTTTTCCATCGTTACAAACATTTGCTGGCACGGATGAAACTATCAAACACAATAGTGGTCATTTTACGAGCGTGACTAACACTATCTTATCTACGTCATTCGCATTGAATATTAAAGTTTATTACATGTTATTTTGCTATGACATGATTTCTTTGCAAGAAATTTTCAAAACATGTCTCGCATACATTTTACTTTTCTTTCAAGGATCAGGCATGTAAATTTTTTGTGAGAGAAAATTTATGGTTGTTGGTCCGTTATTCATGTGTATTCAGTTATTCCTGGCATTTGAAATGTCCCATGAAAACAGAGAACAGGAAATATTATACCGTGATTTTACGCTTTTTAAAAGAATAAAAATGCAAATTAAGAACTTTCAAGTACACTAAATGAATAAACCAATCTTCCATGTCAAATAATGGTAGATACAATGGACGACAATGCAAATGTGGCCTATGGAGCGTTGCCTGAGAGACTCTACGCCATCGAAGAAGGTAAAGTCGCATACGTGGGCGAACAGGGAGCAATGAATTCATCAATGAAAGCAGCACGTGACTGGCTAGAGTCATATCGCGAGAAAAACACATTTAGAAGATGCACAATCTAACCCAGCGAGCAAGAACCGTACAAAATGCAAACTTCGTATAATGACATTTTGACATATTTTGGCCTTGAGGTTGAGACTGTTGTTTCTTTATCCCAAAACATTTTTTAAGCGATTGACAATGCCCTAATGTATGATAATGTACAAATATGGAAAAACATGTTTCAAAAGTGAGATTTTTACAAGGATGCGTCGACAAAGGAACTTTGAAAACATATACACATGCATATTTTTCTTGTAACTTACAAAAGCTTAAAAATGCAAGACAATGTAGGTTTCTATGCTTTTAGTATATCTAAACGTGGATTATAAATTCAATTGAAATGAATCGACTGTTAGGAGCAACCAAAGTAGAACATGCATATATATTTGAGATCACTGGGGAGTTTTGGTCCAAACAGGCAACCGAGCCAATTGAAATCTGCCACTTTTAAATCATTTTATAGACAATAGTGATGGAATTTAGTATGGATAAGTTTAAGGAGCCAGTATTGAAAGACATATAATTGTATTACGTATTGTATACAAAATGAATCAGAAATAAGTTTGAAAAAGGTAGAAACATTTTTATGAGGTACAGTTAACGCTCTTGAGGGCATTTGCGTGAAAGTTATATACTTAATGTGCAAGAGAGAACCAATAATTTAAATATGCAAATGATACAATGGTTGGCTACAAGCGCAAGCCAAAAACTAAGTTTCAAACGACTTTCTCTCCCTTACAATTTGTAATAGACCGTATAATTTCACCATTCAACTGTCAAAAAGAACTGCTCAATTTTCTTATTTTATTTGGGAAGACGTTATAGCCTATAATACAAATTTACATTCTGTTGTTAATCATATTTAACCACGGTTAGATGTCCCACAACAGTCACAAATGACATTTGACGTATATATATATGTTTGTAGATGTAGATCACCCATGACAATAAAGTCCTAAGAAGGACTGTTCGTGTTGATGTTGACTGACGTTTCGACAACCTTAGCGGTAGTCATCTTCAGAGTTCCAGGTTCAAACCATTCACTTTAAGACATATATAGTCGAACTTCATTCCAACAGCACTTAGTGAAAGAAAAATTATTTAGTGGATAAGAAGAATCTAGACAAATTACTGAATTATACGTCCAAAGCCACGAATCAATGTTGAATGTCGTGAAATGGTATTGGTAAGGTCGAAAGATCAATGCTACTCCAAAAGCAAACTAGCTAGTGAAGTGGGTTACAGCTAAAGAAATGTCAGTGACTATGTAGAGAGTAAGATCTGTGGAAACTATGGTCCAAAACTAAAATCCCAAGAATGAGCAGTGGGAGAGTATCCACATTGCTTGGGAAATTATCACGTGAAAGCCTAAAAAATCCTTCATAGGTATATAGCATGGCTGGAGGAAGGCTTACCAAATACTATTTAGTTGGTGGTTTTCATAGATTGACTTTACACTCTCCAACAATTGGCCATAACGACATGTTTTGAGTTTTTTTTTAGTGTATAATTACAATGTTTATTATACATTGAAATATTTACAAATCACCTACAACTCATTTCACATATTTTATTAAAACAGAGATAAAATATTTTGGTGTAAGTAAGTTGTTATTGAGAAAGCGTAACGTTATTGTGAAGTGGTTTTACCTTATGGTTTCTTGATAGTCCTACACGTAATGGCGGACCTGGATTCTTAATTTTAACACCGCCAAGAAAAAAGAACCGCTGGTTTTGTTTGTAAACAGTTTAGGTGAAGAAAATGTTGAGATTGTCCCTCATTTTTCATATGCTTAACGCTCTCTTTAGAAGAATTTATAGGTGATGACTTTTTCTCCTTTGTACCAACGCAAGAAAATGTGGAAATTTTCCTTCATTTTCAAATGTCCAAAGTTCTCTTTGGAAGAATTTATAGGTGATGACTTTTTCTCCTTTGTACCAACAACAGGGTGCATTTGTAGTCGGATGACTCTTTTAAAACAAATGTGTATCAAAATTTGTTATTATAAGCACTCGTCAGAAGAAAAACTAATAAGAATAACACGAAAGACAAGCTGCGAGCAAATGCAATTACGTATGTATCAAACTGTTTTGATATTTTGATTGTATAATCATGCCAACTGTATTTGGTTATTTCATTATATGCAAATTAGACGCTTGAAATCAATGACAATTTTTATAAATACAAAATAAAGCCTGCCGGAAAACATATGACTCCCACCAGACATTTTCTTGCCGTTCTTCAGGTTCACAATTTTCTCTTCATTGGAATCACTTTCGACATCATTGTCATGAATCTTGTTCACTTTAGCACTACTCTTATCGCAGGTGTCACGTGCATCGCAGGTGTCACGTGCATCATCATCTTAATTAGATTAAATGAGTAAGCGATCTATCAGCATTATATGTACGTGGTACTGCATCTTACATAATAATGATCATGTATTTTCATTTTGAATCACACACTACAATACCATGCAAAAAGTCAATTAGAAAGTTCATCACGCCATTAAAAGTAGTACTACATGCAACACATCACTATCTTCATAGGTACATCACTATCTTCATCCATACATCACCACCTTCATAAATCCCCACTCCACCTTTATGTATCCCCACCATACTTTCATACATCCCCACCATAATACATCCAAACCTTCATGCATCCACAACTTGATACATCCTTAACTTTATAAATACCCACCCTTATACATACACACCTTCATCCATACACACCTTCATCCATACACACCTTCATATGTCCGCACTTTTAAACATTCCTAATTTTAAGGCTACCCAGTTATAACTGTGATTGATGGATATATGCTACTATGTGCCTAAATTCAACAGTTAAATTCAGACCACTAAGAGTGGTGACTAGTTTTTAAAACTCTGAGAAAATCCTTCTCTGTCCTCATTTAGGACAGTATAACAAAGTTGTCATTTTCAAAACTTGTGCTTTTGACTGATTACTCTGTAAACATTATGAGTTTAAAATTAAGGGCTTTGTGATGGGGAAAAGAGTCTTACTAAAATGTGAATTTGAGGTCAATGTAAGACAGCATTATATAATGCTTAACAATGAAAAACTTTAAAATTCTAAAATCATTGTTTGAATTGGATTTACTTCATTACTGCGTAGATTAGGGCAGCTTCTTTTTCCTCTTTCATGAAATCATAATGTAATCTTTTATGATGTAATCACTTTTCACAGTTTCATTTATCATTTTACATACCGATACCTTTACTATTTATTTTGATATGACTGCTTTCTTTTTGTCCAACATCATTATCCTTTCTGTCATAAGGTGTATTTATTAGTGACATTTCAATTGCTTTTTCTATATCTCTTTGGTACAACTTTTCACGAACAGAAGGCCTTACAATAGAAAAAATCTCATGACGTTGTTGTATCACACATTGAAGAAATTAGTGTGTACATTGGATTACACAAGGCAAAACAAAGGCTTATAAAGGATTAGAGATCTACTCTAATATCTGTGTAAAACAGCATGATGCCCTTTAGCCAAAATTAAAAATCTATTTTTGGGTCACACCTTCTCTCGCCTTTCTTCTCTTTGTTCATTTCCTTCTCTTTATGCTTCGCCTTCTTTGTTTGTGGTTCAAAATCAACTTCAAAATCATCTGAAACATATCATGAAGTCATAAATACAAAAACTTAGCAATTTAAAACAAGAGAAATCTATAGAACATGCAGGCATGACATTGAAAAGGAAGTAAAGTATGGATCCCCGTATATATTTATTGCATATCTACCAAATTAATAATCTCAACTTTTTCACAATAAAACAATGTAAAATGTTTAATAGTGCACTAGATCAATCATGCAGCCAGTAAATAATTGTGGGGCCTACATTCACATTTGTTGCATTTGTATTTTTTGAACAGTGTCTATGTAGGTACATGTAAACTGATACAATATAAAATGTACCCTTCTCCTACCTATGTAAACCAGTGTGTATAACCACATACTTTACTGTAAAACAGAGCAATTATAATTTTCATTAATAGCTACGTAGCTATTAAATCACCGTATGTACAATACATTACCATCACTTTCACAATTGGAGCTCATATCAGTATAATTAACATTTTTCCTCCCTTTCCTGCAAGAGATGATGGTGAAAAATAAAACATGAGTAAAGCTAAATACTTGTAGATGTAGATCTTCAAGGTTCGAGCAGTCCTGAAAATGACTGTTGGTGTTGTTAATGATTGACATTTTGACATCCTTTGATCATCAGAATCAAGTAACACGTCAACACCAAGAATTCTTTTCAGGACTGCACAAAGCTGGACGATCAACATCTAAAAAATATAACATAATAGGCAATAAAAATTATAAATTCTAATATGAAAATCGTCCCTGCTTTATTAATCACCAATATTGTCAACCAACAGTAAATCTTGTTTCACCCATACGCCATACCATAGTAGTGATAGTACAAATTGGAATCAAGGGACAAATTTCAGAATTCCTACCTTTTAGATTTTCGCTTAAAGGTCATCTTTAATGCATATTTACAAAATTAAAAATTATGCTATCAGAGAAAATACTAATGAAGTTAGGATTCAAGTTCAACTTCTCGTGGTTTTAACATGATTTTCATTATGTAGTTGAATAATCTTATAAAGTTTCACGCATTGGCGTCATTACACTGGATCATATCATTACACCGGATCATACACTGGAAAAATGCATTTTTGTGTATTTCTTTACTTTTAAACTCATAATAGAGCTTAACAAACAGTGATACATTATTAAAAAAGTATTTTTGTCTTGTTGAAACACTGCTTTAGGCTTTTAAATTATTTAAATCAAAGTTTGCTTCTGCTGAAAGGCACCTGCAAAATGTGGTAAGAAATATTTAAGTTTCCGTTGCTAGTGATCGTAAAGAATGTCAATCACAACAAAAATACCACCTTTACAGCTAAAAAATTTACCATACATTGTCAAGAATAACTTTAAAAGATAAATTTAATTTCCTGCGAAAGATGAACGATTGTCTGAATATTATCTACAAGTACAGCTCGTATTTAAGCACTTTTACGTAGGATTTCTTTTTTTTTGTCTTTATATATAACCAAAGAAGGGAATGGCGCAAGCATCACAGCGCAAAAAAAAAAGGTATATTTGTAATTTTCCGTGAGATGAAAAGATTTTTTCTTGTAAAGCATGTAAAATTGTAAGCTTGGACTAAAAAAAATTATACATAACATAAATTCAATGAGCTCTCTTTTTGGTCGAGTCCTGTGTTTAAATCAGGCCATCGAAACACCGAAATTTAAATACCCAAAATGAAATTTAGAATTTTCTAAATAACTTTTTTAAGATCTATCAGAATAATTAACACCAAAATGTGTTCATGTGTACTTTTAAATACAAATCACGACAGAGCTCAAGAGCCATTACTACTTTTCAGGAAATGTTAGGGATGCATTGAGCTATCATAAAGACATGGCGTTTTCAACAAAAGATTCTGATAATGACAAATATGAAGGAAGCTGCCCTGCTTACTGGCAAGGCGCTTGGTGGTATAATAGTTGTTATTATTCCAACCTAAATGGTAAAAATCTTGCTTGGTATGGTTTTAATAACGTAAAAACCAGTGAAATGAAAATCAAACCATGAAGAATTTTCATAAATATTTATAATTTCACGGCAATGATCAAAATCAATGTCAATACGTCATGTTATATGTCTTAAACATTTACATTCGTTGTTTCTATGAGAAAATGTGCAAAAATTGTTATAGATAGAAGTCAAGAAAACTGTAATCATTTCATGAAATAATAAAAATATTGTTTCAATCAATGATATTGATGAAATATGAGTTTCTAACATGTTTATCTAAATGAAGTTGATGTAATCAAATCATACTCAAAACGACTTCCGTTTTTGAGTTTGTAATGTGACTGTTTTCGTCTTCGTGGGCATGAAATGATTTTTCACATTACTAATGCTTACACAGTTACACGTTTAAAAGCATTTTATTAGTGTTATTGTGGGCATCAGCCATCTTGGGTGAGCCACATTGTTCGATAAGTCCCTAGAGGTTGGCTGCAATACAAGAATATAAAACCCCTAAACACAACCACAATCGCAATACCTACATCGCATTTAACTGCATTACAAGAGCAATATATTTGGTGCTTTAACATCATCTCAAAGAACAATCTCACGAAAGTTCGAATGACGAAGAGTTGATTGCGTTTGAACGAAGTGGACGCTGAATTCACAAGTCTCTATTTCTATGTATGCTCACTTAAATGTTCTCTTGGAGTCAAAGTTCCCTGCTGTCAACATTAAAGTATGTCACTAGAGCTTTCGAATTTTATGATTTGTGTTTATCATGCATATCCAAATTAATATATATATTACATTTAAAGTAGTTTATGGCGGTTTTTTGTTGAAATCATTCATACTTAGTAACCAAGTATTAATCATTGAAGAAGTATTTAGATAGCTGTAACTTTAGATATGTTGTCAACTTGACACTGACAAAATATTAGATTGAAGGCCAAGCCTATTGTAAAAATTCAATGCATTGGAAAACGGCATATCAACAGTTTTACCAAGGACGAGCAGTTCTTCAATGGTGGAAGAATGTAAGTTATACTCATAATATATCTAAAGTTTGTAAATCATATAATTATAAATGCTGAAAGATTGGCTACCGACTACTGTTCTTTACAGTCTGCACTCTGCAGAAACAATTGAGTTAGCGTAGCCAGAAAGCAAGCCTTTCTTGGCTTTATTGGTTTTCGGAAAAAAATTTGCCATACTATATTCAAAACATGTGCATGTCCTGTCAGCCTGTCAGTGCTGATGCTTGTCCTCCAGATGCGCCTTAGCAACGATTGCTAGGATGTTAATGACGTAGATGCAATTGGTCTATAGAAACAAACAGTAGTCTCAATTTACCGTGTAACTTTGTGCTGTATATTTAATTAAATTACTGGCTGCGACTCCACCTTAGCACTCCTATTGGTCAGAAAATACAAATTACTGGCTGCCACTATGCTTATTACATGCGTAATAAGATGTGCGCTACACAAAAAATTTCTATAAAGTGAAACTATTGTTTGTTCAATACTGCCGTTAGATCAACGCCGACTGTTAAAATAAAGGCATCTGATCAATAAAGTTAAAGGTACGTTTTTTGAGTAAATTTGACCTCTGACATAATATGACGGATGTCTTCAAGTCAAAGAATTGTGATGTCAATAAATAATGAATTATTATTAGTTTAGGGCCTGTTCATATGTGCCGGGCTGGCCGACTTTGCTAGGCCAGTTTTTTATTTGATTCGCATGAGGCGGCTAGCCCGACAAAGTACGGAAATAATTATTTACGCACGCAGCATAAAAGTCCAAATCCCGATTGTTTATATTACTTTTATAAGTTGAAAGAAACTCAATGATGTTATGCATTAGTCTATGGTCCGCCTAAAGTTGCTCTTTTGCTCGCCTTGTATTTTGCATCGCATTGATTTTTATGAGCATGCGCACTAGTACGATGTTTAACACGGCATGCCGGTCTAGCCTGCCTTGTGCATTCACATGAGCCCGTTTATGCCGAGATCCCGCCTCGTTTAAGCGACATCCCGGTAAAACGGGCCAGCCCGGCGCTCATATGAATCAAATTTGAAATTATATGTAAATACTAAAAGAGGTGAGATCTTGCTACTACCGGGCTAGCTCGGTAAAGCGGGCCAGCCCGGCTCATATGAACAGGCCCTTGTATACATACACTTGAAATTGTAAACACCCAGTTTATAACTTATGTTTAGATTATGTGTATAACTTACACTTTCCATAATTACAAATTGTTTTTCTCTTGCAAATAAGTGTTTCATTATCGTTACACGAGTTAATTGTATTCAAGTAAGTCTTGAATGCAATGAAGCTTGGTACGTTGGCATGGCTACTATGTAACAGAGAACATGCATGTTAAAGTCTGATTGGATCTACATGCTCTTACATATTCAGTCATAACAAATATATATAATCAAAGTTTTATTATGACGAAACTTTTGTAATGGTTCAAAACTTATTATTGCAAAAAAACACTTGTCAGTCGTGTACTTGTGAAAGTGGTAGCCGGTTTTTCTAACTGCAGGCGTCGAATTATTCTAACGTTGCACTTTATTCAAACAACATACTTACGTATAGCGTGATCGAATTCCTTTATAATTTATTGTGATTGTGGGCGCTGATCCAACCTTGCATCTCTATAATTACAGGATTTAAAAAATGCGTATATTATAAGTATACTTACACCTTCCCACTAATGTATATTGTGCTGTTTCATGGCTTAAGTAAGTATATCATTTTTCAATGCATTTGAATTTTTACAATAGGCAATATAGCTCTTCGATGTCATAATACCTTGTGATTTTCAAGTTAACACCATATATCTAAAGTGATTCTTGAATGATTGATTGTTCAGTTGACACCAAGAGCACATTCAAATGAACATACATAGAAATAGAGACTCCCGAGAGCTCAGGTAGCAACAACTTTGCACGAACTTTTCAATGCAAATTAGAGTTTTTTCAACCTACCCGCGACTTGCGTGAGTTAGACAAACTCCAAAGTGTTGTATACCAACAAATCGAAAACATTAAACAAGATTCCAAAATCCCAAGAAGCGTGTTTTTAGTATACTAAGCATTGCGGCGGATCTAATAAGAAGAAGAAATTTTTGCTTATAAACTTAACAGAATTTTAAAAAACACTTGAGAAAAACGACGATTTTTTTTAGAGCAAACATGTTTCGACATTATCAGAATGCCATCTTCAGTGCAGAATGGTTAGTGTTAAGTAATATGATACGTAATATGATATGAATAAATTAATTACAATGAATAGGATTATAATTCAGTTACTAAATATAAAATATTTACAAAAAAGGAAAAGAAAAATAAGTATTAAGAACTTATAACAAAAATATTATTATAAAGTAAATATAGTGTTGTAGTGGTGAACTTGGATATTTAAATCGGGATTAGTTTTATTAATGTGTAGAGCTTCCTTGATTTTGAGTGAGAAAGTGGATTGATCAGTGTCGATGATTTTAAAACAGGAAGGTGAGAATTTGTTTTTACATGAAGGAGAGGCTTGAAGATGTTTGTAGATAGTGGAGTTTTGTCTGTGTGAGTATGTTCCTTTATCCTGGTAGATAATTGGCGAGAAGTTTCACCAATATAGTGGGAATTACATCCCGCACATGAAAATTGATAAACTACCATAGATTTGGAAAGTTCGGGAAGTGGGTCTTTAAACGAAAATAAAGATTTTATTTTAAAAGATGTGAAAATAAGTTTAACGTCAATGTCAGTGCAGTAGCGTTTAATGATTTGTGTGAGTTTGCGTTGTGTGTGTCGTGAGTAATCACCTATGTAAGGTAGTTTGAAATAACGTTTATTGTCATGTTGTTGTATATCGTTAGTGTTAGTTGTGGCGTTAGATGAGTCAGTGCTTATCTTGTTGTCCAAATAGTGTTGTATAGTGTTGTTGATGAAATGAAAAGGAAAAGAATTACGTTGGAGAGTGAGTCCAATTTTGTAATTTAATGGTGTGAAACTAAAAAAGTTAGTCAGTAGTCCTGTATATGTTGGTTTGTGGTACGTAGAGGTCATACAGTTTTCATGTGATTTAGTTAGTAAGATGTCAAGAAAGGGCAACTGATTGTCTTGTTCGGTTTCGTATGTAAAGTTTATGTTTTGATGTTGTTTGTTGATGTATTCGTAAAAGAGTAATGCTTCGTCTTTGTTATGAAAAATACAAAAAATGTCGTCAACGTATCTGCGGTAAAATAAAGGTTTGTTGTTGCCGTAGTTATTTAACCAGTTTCGTTCGTGAAAACCCATGAAAATGTTGGCTAAAATGGGTGCCAAGGGTGAGCCCATACTTACCCCGTCAATTTGGTCGTAGTACTTACCGTTAAATAAAAAATGAGTCTCGGCCGTAGCGATGTTAAACAATAGTTTTAGTTCTGTTCTGTTCATTTTGAATGTAGGGTTGTTGGTAAAATTAAATCAATAGCAATGTCTATGGTTTCGGTCAGTGGTATGTTGGTAAAAAGGCTTTCAACGTCAAAAGAAATAAAGAATTTGTCATGTGGAGCGTTAGTGTTAAAAGATAAAAAATCATCGACAAAACTAAAAGAATCTTTAGCAGAATGGTCATTAGGTATTAGGGGTTGGAGTAAAGAGCTGAGGTATTTGGCTAATTTGTAGTTATACGAATTGATTGAAGAATTTATAGGTCTGATAGGAGGTATGTCATTGATATTGTTTAATTTATGAAGTTTAGGTAAACCATATAATCGAGCTGGCTGTGAACCTCTAGGGTACATTTCTTGAAATGATTTTTCGTTAATAGCGTTCTTTTTCTTTAAGTTACGTAGCAGTCGTTGTAACTTTGCTTCACGGGAAATTGTAGGATCATGATCGAGTGGTTTGAACTTAGATAAATTGTTAATTATAGTGAGGCAAGAGTTAATGTATACCTGACGATCCATAATGACTACACCATTGCCTTTGTCAGGTTTGAGAACAATGATTTTGTCATTATTCTCAAATTCAGAATTCTTTGCTAGCATTGACTGAATTAAACGAGGAAGTTCTTGTACATGAACTTAACTGAAATTCTTGGCTAACATTGACTGAATTTACCGAGGAAGTTCTTATTTATAAACTTAACGGAAATTTTTGCTATCATTGACTGAATTAACCGAGGAAGTTCTTATTTATAAACTTAACGGAAATTTTTGCTATCATTGACTGAATTAACAAAGGAAGTTCTTATTTATAAACTTAACGGAAATTTTTGCTATCATTGACTGAATTAACAAAGGAAGTTCTTGTTTATAAACTTAACGGAAATTTTTGCTAACATTCACTGAATTAACCGAGGAAGTTCTTATTTATAAACTTAACGGAAATTTTGCAAACATTGACTGAATTAACCGAGGAAGTTCTTATTTATAAACTTAACGGAAATTTTGCAAACATTGACTGAATTAACCGAGGAAGTTCTTATTTACAAACTTAACGGAAATTTTTGCTATCATTGACTGTATTAACAAAGGAAGTTCTTGTTTATAAACTTGTTGGGAATTTATAACTAGCACAAACCTAACTATACTTAAAAAAGAAAATTCTTAGCTAATTGTTTCAAGTATGAAGTTATTAACTCATTCTCTTCACTCAGAGTTAATATAGAATAATAGAAATATAGAATTCCCTAAGCATATTACTTCTTTGAAAGAATTATATAAAAAAATTTTAAAGGGTTATTCAAATGCCTCGTATTTTATTAAGTTTCTTTATATTAACACGTCCTCAATCAAATAAACTTTGAGTGAAAGACAAACAAATTAACTGACCATTTATTCGTAAACAATGTTCTTTTTATTTAAAAAGAGATTATTCTGCCACCCACCTCCAAAGACTTGCTTCATTGAAAAGTTTGTAGTGAAATTACGACTTCAAGTGCGAGTGTAATGTAGAGATGCTCGTTATGTAGATACAACATTTCTCGGGTTACAGCAACCGATGTCAAGCACCATTCAAAGCATAGTTATTTCGTTATATCAACAACATACAGCATAAGTGCTCTTTAACACACGTTTTTCTTGATTCTATTCAAAAGATGAAATTAGAATTGTCAAAGGACACTGATAAATCTAACCGCGACTTGCGAGAGTTAGACACACTCCAAAGTGTTGTTTACCAACAAATCGAAAACATTAAACAAGACTCCAAAATCCCAAGAAGCGTGTTTTTAGTATACTAAGTATTGCGGCGGATCTAGTAAGAAGAAGAAGTCTTTGCTTATAAACTTAACAGAATTCGTTGCTAGCATTGACTGAATTAAAGAGAAAGTTCTTGTGCATGAACTTAACTGAAATTCTTGGCGAACATTGACTGAATTAACCGATGAAGTTCTTATTTATAAACTTAACGGAAATTTTGCTATCATTGACTGAATTAACCGAGGAAGTTTTTATTTATAAACTTAACTCAAATTTTGCTAACATTGACTGAGTTAACCGAGGAAGTTCTTATTTATAAACTTAATGGAAATTTTGCTATCATTGACTGAATTAACCGAGGAAGTTTTATTTATAAACTTAACGGAAATTTTGCTAACATTGACTGAATTAACCGAGGAAGTTCTTATTTATAAACATAACGGAAATTTTGCTATCATTGACTGAATTAACCGAGGAAGTTTTATTTATAAACTTAACGGAAATTTTTGCTATCATTCAATGACTGAATTAACAAAGGAAGCTCTTGTTTATAAACTTGTCTGGAATTTATAACTAGCACAAACCTAACCATAATTAAAAAAGGAAATTCTTAGCTAATTATTTTCAATATGAAGTTAGTAACTCAAACATACAACATGTTGATAGAAACTTAAAGAGTTGCAATCTTTGCGTAAAACCTATCTTAACAAGGTCGGTAGATGCCAGATATAATTATGCAATGTGCAATTATTGAACTGGAACCACAGATACTGCTGTGTTATGGAGCGCTTCTTACATGGAAGGTTATAAGGATATATAGGTCGCGTTCATTTTCAACTTTGAGCTCAAAAGGTCTAAATATTCTCATTGTCTAGGCTACTGTTCTAATGATAAATTTCGAATTATCATGCAAAGTATATCGTTTCAAAAGTTTCAATGATTTTGCGCCACTTGTTATTTTTTAAACAAACAGTTTTACATATCAATGTCAACCTTGTTTTTATTGTTAGAGACGCGGACTAATGTTTATAAGAATTTTTTATTTTCATGTTGTTCAACGGCTTCCATGCACAATCTGTCACATCCATTTGGTATTTCTTAATAGCATAAGCATTTCTTGTTACTATCCATAATTTAACATTTACGACATTGACAACGAAGTGTCAAACAAAGAATGTTGACTTGCATATATAAAGTTGAATGAGAGCGACAGGAAACAAAAACTTTAAAATTTATTGCACCATGCCTGGTCAAAATTTAGCTTTTAGAGTACTTTCCACAAACTACATAGATTCTTTAGAAATTAAAACATCTGTCAACGTTACTCTTATTTTTAACTTATTATTGAAGAATGGCACGCCATGGCTCGTCATCATCTGTTGATGCTTGGTTAGTGCTGATGATCAACATACTCAAATTCTTATTCTCAATTGACTGGTAATCTTCTTGATATTCATTAGCCGACTATTCAGGCTAAAAACTAGCATAAACAACAACAGTCCTTCTCAGGACTATACCAACCTGGACGATCTACATCCACAAACATGTAACGATACTCTCGGGCTCAAACCATTTAATTTTTTACGAATTCTATTTGTTGGATATCCTTCCATATCACTTTCAAAACTATCGAGAAAAAAAATTGTACGTGTTTTTTTATTGTTTAAGTGCCATGCTGTGTAACATGACCATTGAACATAACTTTAAATTTGTAAACAGCTAGCTCAAATTTTTTGTTGATATGACGTAAAAGTAATTTCCTTTGACGTATATGGCGCTCTACGCTACTAAGTCTCCAATCAGTTCAACAAGTGCATTTAAATAGCTACGTGTTTCTTTAAAGAGAAAGTAGCTGATGTAAAATTTTCAAACTATGGTGACCTTTGCATACTAATACAGTTTTGATAGTGACGTTGTCATAAGGTGGATTTGTCCTTTAACGGACATTCTTTCCTAGTGTTGACCGAAATAAAGAGGAAATTCCTCGTCGTTAACCAACCAAAAAGGAACTTTTATTTTATTGATCTAACTAGTATTGAATGAATCAAAAGAAGTTCTTGTTTTGTGACATGACACAGCTAAATTACAAGATTGAACTCATTCTCTTCACTCAGAGGTTAATATAGAATAATGTAAATATAGAAACCTTAAGCATATTACTTCTTTGAAAGAGTTATATAAAAAATCTTAAGGGTTATTCAAATGCCTCGTATTTTATTAAGTTTCTTTATATTGACACGTCCTCAATCATATAAACTTTGAGTGAAAGACAAGCGAATTAACTGACCATTTATTCATAAACAATGTTTTTTTTATTAAAAAAAAAAATCATTCTGCCGCCCACCTCCAAAGACTTGCTTGATTGAAAAGTTTGTAGTGAAATTACGACTTCAAGTGCGAGTGTAATGTAGAGATGCTCGTTATGTAGATACAACATTTCTCGGGTTACAGCAACCAATGTCAAGCACCATTCAAAGCATAGTTACTTCTTTACATCAACAACATACAGCATACGGGCTCTTTAACACACGTTTTGCTGGATCCTATTCAAAAGATGAAATTAGAATTGTCAAAGGATACTGTTAAATGCTTTTTAATTGCATCAATTTTTAATAAACAGTCTTTATATCAATGCAAGCTTTGTTTTGATGTTGCTCCCTTATACGGTGACGTCATGAAGAGCATTTAATTGGAAATTTTGAAGATCTCGGTTCTTTTTAGCAAAACACAACGCTAACTGTAATGCCTTGTGCTTTTATTATAAGTCTTTCTTATTTTAAATTGTTTTCTTAAAATCTATAACATCGCGAGCAAGCTATCAGTGAAATACATCGTATTTAACAGCCACATTTAGTTTGTTACCAAAATATCACAATAAGTCTTTAATCATTAATTTTGTGTTAATCAGCTAGTGTTGTTGTTTTACGATAAATAAAGGCCTGTTTATTAAAGAGTAAATGTTATGTTGCAAATCCTTCAAAACTACCGATTTAAAGTTTGAGTCAATTTTGTAAACTTCTTCCAAGTTGAGTGAATTCGACTTTAAAATTGAAACACTGTCCAGTTTGTGGCTATGTGTGCAAACTGTTCAACATATTTAAACTATTTAAAGCAGTTCAATTATCTGCTGAAACAAATTAGTCTGTATAAATATGCAAAGTTTCTTTATCCTCACAATTTATTTATGCTGGACACACACATATATAAAGAGCCTCGATCTTCAACTCAACCTGGAGTGTTTACTTGTAAGACATTTAAACAAGACAAGTTGGTGAGCTTTATTTGTGCGTTGATGGCGATTAGCTGCATTGTTGTTAATATTCAAGGGTAAGCTATGGTTTAGTGTAAAGAACTAAGAACTTGGAAATGTTTAATGCGCTTTGTTGAACGCAAAAAAGACTGTGTTAGAAACGCTTCTATGGCGTATTTCTTTTTAAATTTGAATAACCTTTAGTACAAGTTGTCGAGTTGTAGTTAACATTCAATCCTGGGGCAGTATACAAACATGATTAACTAAGGATTTTTCAAATCAGCTCAAGCCAAGTTTTTCTTGTTTAAATTGTGTATGGGAGGAGTAAGACTTTTATATACATTACACCTTTTTAGTAAGTTGTTAGCTATGTCATGTATATACTGGATATAAATCTTTCTCAATTCCTTATTTATAGTGTGAAATATTTCATCTAAAAACTTTTCCATGACTCACTTTACCGTTCTTACTTTTGCAGAGTGAGATCAACAAACGAAAAGGAAGATTATTTAAAAGATTTCTACTCAACATTCAGCCATAACTTGAAACGCACCATAAAATCCGATAAAAACAATGCAACTTTGAAATCACAAATTGCAATAATAGACGGACAAATAAAAACACTTCAAACATATCACAAGAATCTTCAAACCCAGCACAAACATCTGCAAATCTTTAAGTTAAGTCTTCAACACAAAATCAATAGGACAGAAGTACAAACATATACACTAGTGAAATTACAACAAAAAATTACGAAAGTTGACTTGAAAATGATTGATCTTTCGTCACAAATGAAAAACTTGATGCCCAAAGGGCAACATTACAAACAGAGTTAAAAGTCTTGAAAAAATTGAAAACACTTTACATGGTAAATGAAGAACTTACAAATATTTCGGAAAAAGGTAAGAATGATTTTAAAAAAGAAAAGACACTTATAGATTCGAGTAAGGAGTAATATTTGTCCAATAAAAACAATATCTTTCATTTAATTTCTCTGTGTTAGTTAATATTTTTATAACCATCAGGAAAAGACTGCTCAGATCTTTACAGAAAAAGTGTAAGACACAATGGAATATACGAAGTAGATCCTGATGGTAAAGGATACTTTAAGGTCTTCTGTGACATGACGTCATCAGGTGGTGGTTGGACTGTTATTCAAAGACAAATAAAAAATGGAAATACAGACTTTTATCTGGGTTGGGCGGAGTATAAACGTGGCTTTGGTAATCTTAAATCCGAATTCTGGCTTGGATTGGACAAGATACATCGACTAACATCTGCAAGGAAATATAAACTTCGAATTGATCTTGCAAACACGTCAGGCACTAAAAAATACGCTGAATATGAAGATTTTGTTGTAAAGGATGAAAATTATAAGTATCAATTAAGTATTGGAAAATACACAGGTAAGAAAATATTGACGAAAATGAGTGTTTGTGATAGCAAATTGTGTTGACAGATTGTACCTTAGGACCAGTTCATATGAGACGGGCCAGCCCGCTTATGCCAGGATAGGTAGCTTTGCCGAGATCTCGCCTCGTATATTATTTTACAATTTTTTTGAAATTGCGTTCATATGAAGAGCGGGCCAGCCCAGCTTGACGAGATACGCTTGAAGGAAGCGAGGTTCTAACAGGCTCATATAACTGCATCAATTGGGCCAGCCCGGCTAAACAGGGCTGGAAGAGATGAGATGGCGCATTCCCTTGTCTTGTTTGGTTATTTAAACATGACAAAAACTTCAAAACAATAATGTGCAATTGAAAATAAATTTGAAAATTTCATGTTATACCACTACAATAATCGGTGGAACTCACTGGTAGCAATCAGATTGTTGAATGTCTGAGTCTAAACACAATTTAATTTTCCCACAAAATACAATGTTTGTTGGCAGAAATTAAATACAACATTTCAGCCTTGCCAGCCCGCCTCAGATGAATGCGAATACAAATTGGTCCTGCAAGCCAGCTAGTCCAACTTTAAGTGGTTTTAACGTTTTTAAAATACAAATCACCAGAAAACTATAGAACTATTTCTACTTTTCAGGAACTGCTGCGGATCAATTATCCTATCACAATAACATGAAGTTTTCAACCAAAGATTCAGATAATGATAAAGATAGTAGAAATTGCGCTACTTCCTTCAAAGGTGCTTGGTGGTATAAAAGTTGTTATGGTTCCAACCTAAATGGTAAAAATATGTATTGGTCTAGTTTTAACGTGAAAACAAGTGAAATGAAAATTAAACCATGATGACTTTTCATAAATAACTGCAGTTTTTTTAGTTTTACCATGCTGTAAGCTGCCTTCTTTAAAGTGGGCTGCCTTCTTTAAAGGTTATTTTGTAATTATTATACTTTATTCTTCATGGCATGACTTACACATTCATATAGCACGTTGTGTTTTTTCAAAAAGACAAATCATAAAAGCAAAGGATTGATATCTGATTCCTCTTAAATTAAAAATTTGCAAAGATGATCGTCATGAAATTAATTGTACTTGCTTTATTGGCTTCTTTGTACCGTTAAAATTACCGTTAAAATTAACACAAGACTTCATCCTTATGTTAGAGAGATAAAAAACGCTCGTTTTTCCTCACATCACATCCAAAATTTATTTCATGCTTTTTCAATTTTATTCCTTTATGGGCAGTGGCTTAGCCAGCCCTCAATTTATTCATAATACGTAATTTTTTATCATCAGCATCATTCGTTTTATTAAAAATTCATAGTATTATGAACAATAAATTGTTTACATAGCAAGAAGAAACTTGCAGGTTTGCTACGCCACTGATCATGTGTTAGTTTCATGATGTACGTATATTTTTCATTATTTCCTTATGTGTAAAATTAAACACTATTCCTATTAATCCTATCATGTAATTTAATGCAATGTAATTTTTTAATTAGATTATTTATTCAGCTTGTTGTATCTAAGACTGTTGAAGATGTCTTATGTGCTTCGACAAAGAAATGTCTTCAATGAAAAAACTTTCATGCTACAAATTTATTTAAAAAATGCACGCTTTAAAATATATAATTATTGGGCTTACCTCTTAATGATATCCCATTATATTTTTATAGAAGATAAAAGAATGGAATATGCCTTATTTTGCTTAGTATATCTTACAACTTAGAGCATGTTAGCTACCCATAAAACACTGAGCATGACAATTAAGGCTTCCTTTGTGCAAAGGGAAAACGATTTTTCTTGTTGAGTCAGCACAATAAACAAGTGTTTCTCAAAATACATGAAAAAGTCGATGCTTCTTTAAAGAACTACAAAAACTTTCTTACTGTTATTAAAAAATCATGAAAAATAGCAAAATATACCACCTAATGTGGAAAAGATTATTTAAAGGCATTTGACTTCACCGCAGCCTTTAATGTAAAAAATATTGGGACAAATTCGTTTCTTTGACAACAAGCCAGATGAAACTATAAGAAAAAGTAATTTATTTTCTTTGAAAATGCGTTTGCCTTTTAGTGATATATTGCTTCAGCTGTCGTTTGTTCTGTGCACTTTCAC